AGGGAGGAAAGAGGTTTATCCTAGCCAGAAGCGCAGCCGAATTTCTCTGTGTTTTACGGCGGTGCTCCGGGGGTCTTGGGGAGGAAGATGGCTGAGGCTAATCTCGTGCAGGTTATCCCCCGCCGTGTTTTGGGGTTTGCCCTGGAGAAGGGGGTGGGACGGGCCGATGGAGGGGAGGCGGAGCCAGACGAGCTTGACTCTGCCTATGGAGGGGGGGTTGCCTGTGAAGGTGAGGGTGAGGAAGAGGGCGGGACGGGACGAATAGGGATGGGGGTGGTTGGGTGTGGGTGGGTGAGACGAGGCTTTTTCTTTTTGGGAGAGACGGGAGTTCAGGGGTGGTTTGGTGATGCTTGCGGTGGTATCACCCTAGACGGCGTGCCAAAATTTGATTCGAAGTTTGTTTGCGCTTCGGGGGGTTCCCTTTGCGGAACAAATACTGGTAAATGTCTATGCGTGCCGGTAACCAATGATCCAGTGATTGTTATCCGTGATTATGGTGACTTTATAGCCCCAGCTTTCGGAATCCGTCGAGTTCGTGTCGTGTATGTATCAGGCTCTCAACCTGACCAGGTACCTACCTTCCTAGCTTAGGTCAGAGTTAAATCTAGTACTGGCCAGGTAATCAGCCCGCAAGCATATCCATGTGGGGACGTAAACTTTGACAAAATCTATGACCAAACCATCGCCCTCCCTCCCGAAATTTAAAGTGCCGATTGTGTGCTAGTGGGTAGGATAGGACGACTGGGGCGGAAACCCGGAAGCCATGTGCCGTTTGAGAGTAGGGGTTTCGTCATCTTCCTTTCTCAGCTTGACGGTATGTGAAGGGCAGCAATGGAGGTGGGCCGCCCGAAGCGCTGATAAAATGGTGGAAGCGCAGTTGGCGCGGTTGCTTCTCGTGGTGGCCCCCTGGCTTCAGACTTTCTGGTAGATAACGATACAGTGAGGTAATTGTACGAAATTCTATTATTCAAATATACGGCGTGGCCAAGGCGTCAGCAATGTCAGTGTAATGTCTATAATGGTGCCAACTGCTAATATTCGTTTGAAGGATAAAGAGGCAAAGAACAAGAGAAAAAGAAAAGGAAACGCCAGCTCCTAGATTGCTATTTGGTGCTCACCAATCCGAAAACATACGGTGCTTCCTGAAGGCGAAAATTATTTCTCTCATCCTTTCTTAAGGATAGCCCACCCCGCCTACAGAATGAGCATGGCCTCACACTCGGACTGGGAGGGTACGAGAGGTAGTGATGGGCCCAATACCCACCCTGGGGCAGGCTCCCTTTAAGCTTCGCTTCCCCACCTCGAGTATGAGAGCTACGGTGAAGGTGCAGTAACAGCCAGTGAAGGGGTGTCAAGATAGGAGGTCTTGAAACTATAGTTAATAGACCCTCAGCAATATGGCCAACTCGACTGACGTTCGAATTAAAGAGACTACGATCAGTATTCGTCGGGGCAACACGTAATTCACTCTGAGGCACATATCGACAATGTGAGCAGGCCATGTTGATAAGTCAGGTTATGTAGTAGCGGCCACCGTTTGATTACCAGAGGGTGAACGTAAAGTATCAGGAACCACTCCAAATCAGCCGTCGGTAGAACATGGCTCGCGTGATAAATTTGGAGACTGTCCGAGTCACGCAATATTTCAATCACGATGGTCGTTCCGGGCCTCTACCCCTGAGTGTTCACAGCAGGTGGTGGCAGGATGAACAAACGCCCACGGCCACAAAGCGAGCAGGTTCCCGCAACACAGGTCCACAACGGGGGAGAGCTGACCGACGAATATGTAACGTCGCAGCTGCAAAACAAGCTTTCGGCAAATGCATAATGTCTCATGGCATGTCTCACGGCCACCAGCCCCAACATCGACCTCGGCAAAGAGCCACATTGGGATCGGGGGACCATGATGGACGGCGATCGATCGGCGGCAATCAAAGACAGGTGGGACTGGCGGGTCTCGGAGGAAAGGAATCGTTGGGACGTTGTGTTTGCGTTGGGAGTTTCTCTCTAGGAAATCGCGTACCGAGCATGGTTCCATTCTCATTGTCTCACCCGCGTGGCTAATGGGGCATTCCGGGACGCCGCCCGTGAGTGGGAGCTGATCGTGCAGTGTCCATGCGTCCCCGTATTGGTCGTTGCATATCATTTGGGGGCTATCGACGGTGATAAAGGAGGAGATGTTAGGTCCGGGCCGGGAAACTTTGGGGAACGGGAAGAATATTAAGGGGGACGCGGGAGATGGCAGTGGTTGTTGATTTGTATAATATTGGTATTGGATGAAGGGGCAAAAGCTACGACGGAGTGTTCTGTACGGAAGATGGAGCCGCGCGCAAACTAACACGGCTTTGGCCAATAGTAGCAGCAAGATACGAGCCTCGCGTTGACCTCACTCGTCTCATACCACCATCCGACCAGTCCCCCGGGTATGAAGTGACTCTTGGCGACAATGCCTAGGCGCGGGCCGTCCCCCGTCGATGATGTACATATAGTGTCTAGGATACTTACTGGTGTCTCTGGGTGGATCATCCACCACGCGAGCTCAGATTTGCTCGGCTGTGAGCCTCGTCGGCCCTTTGCCAAACCCGGGTGTCTTGGATCCGGGGTCGGTGGAGGAGTGCGGGCTGTCCCGTCTGGGCATGGGTTGCCGAAGCGGTCATTTTTGCGGGATTATATCTATAGTGCCTGCATATTGTCTTATCTTTCGATGGACACTTGATTGAGAGCGCATTGTGTTTTGGCCCCCTTTCCGATGTACATTATCGTATTCCCGGCTCGGGACTCACCCCTTGACCGATGGACGCCATGAGCCCAACTGCGACGGAACCTGAGAGCCGACGGACATCGGAAGAGAGCCCCGTCAAAAATGAGGTAAAAATCAAGGATGATCGTGATCTGGGAGGCCTCCGTGACGCGTATCGAGAACTCATTGCATCGCCGAGAGTCCTTAGAAAGTTGCACTCGGCCATCGTCGGATGCAGCATGCAAATTTGGGCGATACTGGGCCGCTGCCAAGAACCCCCGAGTCGGCGGATATCGGGGAATCGGCAGATGTTGGAAACGCAATCAAGGGCCGGGGCGGACTGCCGGCTCAACGGGAGAACGGGGAGACGGCGCTGTATCACACACACCGGCGCCAGGGAAGGGCAGGGCAAGGGAAAAACCGGAAGAGAGTTTCTCTGCTTCACACCCAGGGGTGCGCTTTGAACATCGTGAGGATCCCGGTGGAGCTGTTTCTGGAATTCTGGGCCTCCTGGGCGTCTCTTGGCGGCGTCGACGTTCTGGTTCTCGAGTCCTCGAACCGAGTAAGCCAGCACACCAGCAGGACAACACCAGCTCACCGGTACACGCTATACTCAGAAGGTGTGGCAGCGTAAACAGACTTGGCGAATATGCAGCGCCAATCCACGAACGCGAAGAGCCTCCTGGCGTTGCCCGTTCTCGCCATTGTCATGCACAACCCTGCTGCAGGGCCACTCGACTGCTTTCCATTGCAAATAGACCTCCGAAGTCAGAGATTTGCTTCCTCTTTACCGCCGTTTGCGTCCGCGTGACTCTGCTGGGTTTTGGGGAGCTGGGTTCTTGCACCGCGCATTGCCGCGTCCAGCTCCGCCGGCCAATCATTTTGTACCGATTTCTGGCAATCACATGCGGAAGATGCCCTGGGCCAGCGCCGGCAAGGTCACGCTGGTGCCAAGTTACGTAAGGGTCCAGGCCCAGTGTCCGCCGACTGATGTCACTCCCTAACAACGAAGCAGCCTTTCGGCCGGTCGATGAGAGTGCGAATCCTGTTCCGGGATGGGAAGGGACTGGGTCATGACGCTGTGATATGGCTCTTTTCACTTAATCTGTGTCGCATCTTCACAGATTCAGTTCTTAGGTCGGGCAATGCCGGAACATCCCTGATGCGCCGCGATTCACGGCCGTCTCGCTGACCTATGGCGGGAAGCTGTCGGCAACGAATATGGCACTGGGGTGAGATCGAGGTGGGGCACGCGTAGGGTGGCGGGGCCCTTGCGTGAGGATCGAGCGGGAATGTTTATCTAGGCGCCTTCGTGCCTGGATGTGGTTGCCGTTCGCGGTTCCGATATTTCTTCGGAACGGGAGTTGAATTGCTTGGTTGGCCTGGCGGTTCCCCCATATCTCTAACGTCCGGTTTTGGTGTGGTTTCAACCCTTTGAGGTAATTCGCGGGGAAGCCAGCTTCTGGATCATGGGCTTTTTCGGCTTAGCGGCGGTCAGAGCCTTGTCACTTGTTTGTGCGAGTTTTCAACACTGCGGGTCTCGCGGGGTAACAATCATCCTTCGAGAACAGGCCTTGACCCGGGAGAAGCAGGGCTGCCAAGGGCTGGGCAGCTCCAAGGCCCCGGATTGTCGAGGCGGTTTGGAGTCACCATCTTGGCGCTGAAGCGAGAAGGAAACCATTCTGTTGTGATGTGGTTTGGGACATTCTGTGCCAGTGGCGGGTTGACACAGCGGGAGCGCCATGCAGCCAGCGCCTCGGCCCAATCGCGAGAGCCGAGCTTGCATTGAGCCCCTTCAATGTCAGCCCTGTCCGTTTCGTCGAGACGAAGAAACACAGTCCAACGCCAGCGAATGCTCCAAAATAGCAGGAAATTAGACAGCAACCTCGACGCCGACCACGCCGTACGAACTTGCAGGGTATTTTTGTTACAGTAGGTCATGTGGCCTGCTCAGCCTCTTGTCGAGACCGACGTCCTCGTTCCCGATACCGTGGAGTGTGGAGGAGCCCCACTTCCGAATCGGGTCACTGAAACCAACAATCTCAGATTGTCCCTGCTTTCCCCGGCCGTCCACAAGATCAAGCAAATAGGATCGGTGGAAGGGGGGGGTGGAGGGATGGTTGGTGCACAGAATGGTCAGGCACAGCAATAACCTCTCACCGTGAAAGAAGGGAGGCGGGAGAGAGCTCAAGGGTCGGGATTGCAATTCCGTTGTGGTTGCCGAAAGGGACTTAAGGACGGAAACAGCACCCTGCGTGCCTGCCAACGATGGGTTGGGGCGGAAGGTGCAGAGAACCAGAAGTGGCAAGATTTGACAAAAAGAATTCAAAAGAATTCAACCATGATTCGCACTTTCCTGTGTCTGCCAGCCAAACACACCCAACGGAGCACCGATCATGATGCACCGTCGCAGCAAAACCACAACGCATACATGGGTATAGTTGCATTCAGCTTGGCTCCAAGGCCGTGAAACTAGGCATCATTGGCATCGTCGTCGACTTTCCCGAACTCGACCAGGGTGTGATCGACGAGTTCCGGAAACAATTCGTGCTCCAGCGGCCCAATCACCGCCAGCCCGAACGGTCATCCACTTGTACCCGGGCACAGTCCCGTCCTGGCGCACGTCAGTGCCGGTGGAATGACATCGCCACTCGCCATTGGGCGTGGCTGCTCTCGAAGCCCCACGCCTTTATATAGTCTCACTCCTCGACCTCGGGTACGGCAGGAGTGTAAACGTTTTGATAACACCACTTCCCTACCCCCAAGCCTTGTGTCCCCTGTCTTTTCTAGCAGAAAGTGGATTTCCCGTAAATCCACATTGCCGAACTGGTGTCAACTCCCGGAGCCCCTGTTAACACACGCCCCTAAGCCACCCGATCTCAAGCACAGCGAAAAGCACTTAAGAACCATGAAGGACCCCGTCGCCAGAACCAATTCTCCCTACACCAATCCCTCCGTCAAAGGCCCCCGAAGTCAACTCTTCACCAACAGACCCTCCGCCGCCGCCGCCAACAGTAAGTCGTCTTTCAGGACATCTACTTAACCCTCCGGGTTACTGTTGAGGTCCCTGTTGCTAACCTTGGCTTCCCTTATGTAGTGCTCGTCAATACCGTTAACAAGACCGGTCTCCATCCCGGTGGTATCATGTTAGTGCCGCGCCACCCTCCGTCTCCAAGAACACTGGGCAGTTCTAACGGAAAGCAATGCAGACCCCAAAACGATCACACCGAGTTAGGTATGAACAGTCGGAGGGGGCATGGACCCGTCGACGTCTTTGATCCCCATCTCATCCGGATTCTAACCATATGACGCAGAGGAGGAGCTCCACGAGAAAGCCCACATCGACTATACACGAGTCGCAATTGTGAGTTCCCTCTCGTCTCCACCCCCCGAGCTATTCCCCATCTGATATCATTCTTTTTCCAGATCCCCAACCCCTCAGTTGCCGCCCTCTACGAAGATGCCCTCGTGTACGAGACCGGCACCGCCGTCGCATCAAGTGGCGCCCTGACTGCCTACTCCGGCAAGAAGACTGGCCGCTCCCCTATGGACAAGCGCATCGTGAAAGAGCCAACTTCAGAAAACGACATCTGGTAAGTTTTTGTCAGACTATACTGTTTATCTCAGCCAGGGCGACAGATGAACAGGATGCTGACGATATTCCAATAGGTGGGGACCTGTCAACAAGCCCATGGATCCTGAGGTAAGGGCGGCTTATTTTTGTCGTTTGCTTTACCCCATGCACGCCAATTCGGCAGCCCGATTCTAGCCGTTGCTGGTTCCGCGGCTGTTTGGTCACGAGGGCAACGAGCGTGATCTCTCTCCCCAGCCGCACCTGAGAAATTGCATCAAAACCGAGGGCCAATCGCTCGGTAACGCCACTGCTCTTGGTATTTGGCATCGCGCACGAGCAATCGGACGGCCGGATGCTGCGATAGTTCGCCTGGGCCATGTGCGTCGACATCACTGTGATGACGTCCTTTTGCCGCAAGCTGCCCACCCCTGTCAATCTGTCGTCATACATTCGCTGCAGACCCATAACCCTAGCACCCCCGGTAACCGATCGACGGTGTCCCACTTCGCCCCACAGAACCCCAAATCACGTGGATCCCTGATCATGACCACAATGCTGACCACATGTGCTGCGTATAGGTATGGAAGATCAACCGTGAGCGCGCTGTCGACTACCTCAACACTCGGAATCGCATCTACGTCGTTGACGGCTATGCTGGGTGGGATGAGAAGTACCGCATCAAGGTGCGCGTCGTGTGCGCACGCGCCTACCACGCCCTGTTCATGCGCAACATGCTCATCCGCCCGCCGCGCGAGGAGCTCGAGCACTTCCACCCGGACTACACAATCTACAACGCCGGGCGCTTCCCCGCCAACCGTTACACCGAGGGCATGACTTCCGGCACATCGGTTGCCATCAACTTCGCCGAGAAGGAGATGGTTATCTTGGGTACCGAGTACGCCGGTGAGATGAAGAAGGGCATTTTCACCGTCATGTTCTACGAGGGTCCTATCAAGCACAACATCTTGACACTGCACTCGTCCGCCAATGAGGGCAAGAACGGCGACGTTACCCTGTTCTTCGGGTTGTCCGGAACCGGCAAGACGACACTGTCGGCTGACCCTAACCGCGCGCTCATCGGCGACGACGAGCACTGCTGGAGCGATCGCGGCGTGTTCAACATTGAGGGAGGATGCTACGCCAAGACGATTGGCCTCTCGGCCGAGAAGGAACCGGATATCTTCGGCGCCATCCGCTTCGGCTCGGTGCTCGAGAACGTCGTCTTCGACCAGGACACCCGCGTCGTCGACTACGACGATTCGACTCTGACGGAGAACACCCGTTGCGCCTACCCGATCGAGTACATCAGCAACGCCAAGATCCCGTGCTTGTCGAACAACCACCCTTCCAACATCATCCTCCTCACTTGCGACGCTAGGGGCGTCCTGCCGCCCATCTCGAAGCTCAACAGCGCCCAGACCATGTTCCACTTCATCAGCGGCTACACCTCCAAGATGGCCGGCACCGAGGACGGCGTGCTCGAGCCCCAGGCGACCTTCTCGTCGTGTTTCGCGCAGCCTTTCCTCGCCCTCCACCCGATGCGCTACGCCAAGATGCTGGCTGACAAGATTGAGTCGCACAACGCCAACGCCTGGCTGCTCAACACCGGCTGGGTTGGTGCCGGCTTCGCCCCAGGGCGGCAAGCGCTGCCCGCTCAAGTACACGCGCGCCATCCTCGACGCCATCCATAGCGGCGAACTCGCCAAGGTGGACTACGAGAACTACGAGGTTTTCAACCTCCAGGTGCCCACATCTTGCCCCGGCGTGCCGGCGGAACTTCTCAACCCCAAGAAGGCCTGGACTGCGGGTGATGATAGCTTCAATGCTGAGGTTACCAAGCTGGGCTCCCTGTTCTTGGAGAACTTCAAGAAGTACGAGAGCGAGGCGACTGAGGATGTTGTCAAGGCTGGGCCGGTTGTTTAAGCCGTGCCTTGGTCGTTTTTCCTTTTCCAGTTTAGACTTGGCAGCATTTGGGTATTGGCGCTTTGGGTTGGGTTTCCTCATCCGTTCACTCCACTTGGAAGTGGCCAGGATATACTCGGTTTCGAGGTTTTATTGGGTTGTTAATGGATGACACTGCTATGCGGTGAGGGACCATGATTCCCTCGTCGGGAGACGATATTCTAGGTTGGGAAAGAGGGAAAAGTATTTCTACCTTTACGTAGTTGACAGACACTGTCTGAATTGATTCAAGTTGTTCACGAACTGTGCATATATCGGGATGCGAAGCAATGGACCTTCGAAGTGTTTTATCAGAAACGCTTGTCTGGAACTGAGTCCGGGAGGCATGGGTCGCTCTATTTTAACCCCCCACCTCCAGGCAGTTTTCGTGGTGCCCTGAACCGGCTCCATCCGCCGCCTCGCCGCCTCAGATGTCCTGAGTTGATGATATTGACCGTAGTGATGTCGCCATGGGTTGTTCACTGCATTGTCTGCCTACATATATTTGTTTTCTTCCCCTTTCCCATTCTTGTGGAACAAATCAACCATGGTCGACCTCCAAATTTTGGGCGGAGGTTGGTAATACTGCAGAAGCAAGAAACCATTATCATTAGGTGCTGGACCTTCTCTTGCCATTGCTACTTTCCATCCTGGTCAACTTGAGAAGCTGCTATCTACCTAAGGGTGATGGTCGTCCAGGATTCGGGCAATGTTCGTTCTATCTTTTCCTTCAATCACAGCCATAAACATTGCAAGAGGGTCGATCCCGCACTCTTTTACACTTTCCAAAACCCATATACCCCATGGATTCTGATTGGCGCCGTTTGGAACAAGAACGTGACCTGGACTTTTCCTGGGAGGCCTCCACCGACCTTTTTCTCTTCGTTACCCTTTCCGGCATCTATCTAGGCTTATCATCATAATAATAACCACCAAACCACGAAAATGGCCATCACGGGAATTTCCCACCCATAGCACCGAGAGTACCACACACTATCGGTGCGTGTGTTCACTCCTCAGCGATCCTCGGAAAGACCGCCCCACCTCAGGTAGCTCACCGATCACGGCCAACCATCATACCATCATCAAAACAAAGCAGCAACCACCCACAATGGACACCACCAATTCACACAACAACCCCTCTCCCCCGAAACCACTACACCAACCCGCCCCAATGGAGGAAGCAGAAGTACCCCCCCAACCACCCCAACCCAGCGGCAGCTCGGAACCCAGCACCCCAGAACCCAACACCCCCCCGGAACCCAGCACCTCCGCACCCAACCCCTCCGCACCCCCCAACCCCAACCCCAACCCCAACAGCACCAACTCGCAGCAGGACAAGGACTCGGACTCCGACAACGCCAACGACGAGCCCTACCGCCCCCCGCGCCCGCCCCCCGAGCCCGTGCACTGGATCTTACGCCTCATCCGCACGCCCTTCCTGCTCAAGCTGCCGTGCATCTTCGCACTGACCATCTTCATCCAATGCGCCACGCACACGGTGCCGTGGGCGCTGCTGAGCGCGCTCGCGCAGTGCATGGCGGCGACCTTTGCGGCGCAGACGGCTGTGGGCGTGGCGTCGGTGCTGTGGCGGAGGGAGTGGTTGTATGATTTGTGTGGGGCGGGGAATTTTTTGGTGGTGGTTGCGTTGAGTTTGGGGGGTGTTGCGGGGGGTGGGGAGGGGGGTGACGGTGAGTGGGGGGTGGTGAGGGTTTTGGGGGGGATTGCGAGGGCGGTGGTGAGGGGGGATGGGGGCGTTTGGAGGGAGATGGGCGTGGATTGGAGGCAGGGGTGGGTGAGTGCTGTGGTGTGCGTTTGGGCGGTGAGGTGTAAGTTTGGGTTTTCTTTTTTTTTTTGATCGTTCCCCCTTCCCTTTTGTGGCTCGTTCGGTTGTGACGGCAGACTATGTCGTACATTAGACGTGGATGACATGGGGTGTGACTAACGTGTCGGCTCTCTCCTAGTGGGCCTTTTCACCTTCATCCGGTCCCTCTGCCGCGGGGGTGACTCGCGTTTCGATGCCGTTCGCAACCATCCCCGGAAGTTCTTCCTCCTTTTCATGTTGCAGGGCGTGTGTGTGACGTTTTATACGCTCCCTATAGTTGCGCTGAACACGGTCCCGAGCAGCGGGTTTACCGGCGCCGGTTGGCGCACGCCGAATGTCGTCTCCTTCATTACGGGGCTCTTCCGGTGTGGCTGGTTCTGGCTCGGCTTGTGGTCCGTTTTCAGGGGCCTCATGATCGAGTGTGTAGCAGACTGGCAGTTGTCCAAGTGGCGCTGGGACAGGTACCAGGGGAAGCACAACGAGGTGTTTTGCGGGACGAATCTTTGGGACAGGAGGTGAGTGCTGCCCTCTTGTAACGTAACAAGGCTTCTTTGGGGGTTGATACTGACTTGCGTGGTAGCCGGCATCCCAACTACTACGGCGAGTGCCTGATATGGCTTGGAATCGCCATGTCTTGCTCTTCGGTCGTCATATCGACAGCTGCTCGGGGAGCGCTCGGGCTGGGGTGGTTTGCCGTTGTGGTGTGGTGCGGCATCACGCCGTACTTTGTCTACAAGAAGCTGCGGAACTTCAGCATCGTAATTATCGAGGAGAAGTACGACAGGCTGTACATGAGGCGGAAGGATTATCGGAACTGGAGGAGGTCGCGGACGTTCCGGCTCTGGCTCGACGGATCCGGTATCATCTGGGGATACATCTGAGGGAGAAGGCTTAGTTGAGCATTATTGTAATATAGCGTACGTCACAGGGGTTTCCTACAGCGGAAAATATCATGGCGGGCAAAGGTCGGCAGCGAGAAGGAAATCATAGTTACATGCCTTGTTCTTTATTCCTTGGCTTGCTTCTCCGTGTGTGAGTTGCGTTTGAGTGGAACGGGCGCGACACGCTGTTGTGCCCCTACGGGTCCGATCTGTCAAGGGCAAGTAGCAACCACGTCTAGTATTGCCATGCGTGTGTGTTGATGCCGAGCTTGTATTCTATCAGCCAGTCGACAACTTCATCCTGGGCCCCAAAGTATGGCACTCGATAATGCGGTGTAGGCCCCTGAATTTACGGCCCCAGCAGCATCTGCCCCTGCTTTGACCAGCATTTCAGAAGTAATTTGAGAGTGAGGAACACATCCCATACTGAGTGGTTGTCGGCGTGTGCGGGCTTCGATAGTCCAAACTAGCACCGACAACTCTGCTGGTTCACGGTCACCTACCCATAGTTATCAGACCGGAAACAGACTAAGAACATAGTGGCTGGGGTTGTTGACACTAGCCGCCCTCTGTTGGGTGGAGGGAGCCAGCGCCGTAGTAGGCAATTCTCTGACATTGCGTGCCGAAGTTGTAGCTTTACCCCCTGCAGACGCAGACTCAGACTCAGCCGCTTTCTTTCCTCCGTTGGTGGCATGGTTGTAGGTATGTTTGCCACAGCTTCATCAGTCCCATGTTTACGACGTACCACGAGCCGGCCCGCCACTGGACCGAACGGGAGCGGCACCCGACAACGACGGACGCCTCCACCGGTACCACCAATTCACGGACGCATTCAGCGCCCCCGCCTCGTCGGCCGTGCTCTTGACGCTGTGCCAATACCCCCTGGGGATGACCAGCGCGTCGCCGGGGCCCACTACCGCCTCGAGCAGCAACGGGGATGCGTGCGCGCCCCAGACCGCGTCCCGCCAGGCCCGCCGCTCGGCGCGCTCCATCATCTCGGCGGCCCGGATGTTGGGGCTGGCGCCCTGTTTGCCGAGGGCGGCCATCACGTTCTTGAAGAGCCGGAGGCCTGGCTCGGGGGGGAGGAGGCGGACGGTTTTGGAACCGCGGAGTTGGCAGAAGAGGTTGTCGTTGGGGTCGCGGTGCCAGGGCGTGAAGGTTGGCTCGAGGCCGAGCCAGAGGCTGCTGCTGTAGATGTCGGCTGTGAGGCGGACTTCGCCCGTGGCGGGGGCTGCGAGGACCTCGGGCGTGGGGACATCGTGTTGGAGGGCCTCGGGCAGGTCTGAGAGGGTTGCTTGAGCGATGTAAAGCCGGGATATGGGGGCTGTCGGCGGCTCTAGGGCGTTATATTGCACGACTGCGTTAAAGAGAGCTAGGGGCGCATCGAAGCGGGAGAACCCTGATGACGCATGGTATAGCCCTGCAATGCCGTAACGCAACAACAGATCCCGGGTAGTGGGGTTGTTGGGGTTGTATGTGCTTTCCAACCAGGCTGTGAACGCCACTACGCTATCATCGACAACGCTTGGAGTGTCTCCTTCGCTGCCAATAAATTCATAGGGGACAATGCAGGGAGAGTATTGCTTGAAATACAGGGATAATATGTCCCCCCTCGGTCGGACTTCACCTTCGAACCATTTTTGTATTGCTGGAAGGTGAATCGGGGGTTTGACAGGATCGCTGGATCCTGCAAGCACATCTCCCACAATCTGTCGGCGAAACAGAACAGGCCTTATCCGATTCTCGGTAGCTGCGACAATGCGCCGGAACTGGTCGATAGTTACGCGGTCATCGATCTCCTCAACTGTGTCACAAGTTGGTGGTGGTGGTGTTGCGACTTTTGTGATATGCCGTTTAGCAAGCAGCCGCCGAATGGGTGGTGGCGCATATGAACAGAGTTTGAGTGGCTGCATTTGGAAAGTGTTCCATGCCAAATTGGTGGAAATTTCCAGATCGTGGAGGAAGGGATGGCATCGACGTGCTGGAGCTGAATGGCACAAACGCGATAACACACACGTGAGTTTCACGTTGCAATTGGCTCGATCGTCATGCACCCCATCGAGCTCAGCTTGCCGCCTGTCTTGACTCGGGCCTGCCGACCAAAAAGTCCGGTCGAGGTGGGATTTCTTGGTGAGGGAGGTGCACAGACCCGTGGGCCCAGCCAGCCCACCAGCCAGCCCACCAGCCAGCAGAAATGAGGCAGGGGCCTGAACCAAGTGGGCAGCCAGGCCAGTGTCACGGAACACCAACCACATCAAAATATCATCCAAATATTAACCTCCTCGAAATTGACCAGCACCACCACACCGGTGCCACATCAACTCTTTATAATTTTCCGCTTGATCATGACAGCATCATAGGACGACCAAGCTGCCAACGCGACGGCCGAGCAAAGGGGATTGCGCACCAAACCCGAACCGAGCCCCTCTCTTCGCCGAACCCCCCCCTTCACTATCCGGCCTCTGCGCGACAGGTTCCGGATAGTCCGCACCCACCTTGCTCGCCGCCGGGTGAGATTCGAAAGATTGTATACGCGCACAAAAGACCCTATTGTATGGTTACAGGACAAGGCAGCCCTCGCCATGTCGACCTCTTCCGGAACCCCAGAATCATGGATTTCTTCCTTTTGCTCCCTGCTCGGCCACGAGTATTTCGCCGAAGTCTCGGAGGAGTTTATCGAGGATGACTTCAACCTTACCGGCCTACAAAATCAGGTCGCCATGTACAAGGAAGCGCTCGAGGTACTACCAGCCCCTGTTTCGCGTCGTGCTCTCTGTCCTCCCTGGTCAAGATACTGACATTGCATTGCCGCTTCGCCTAGATGATCCTTGATGTTGAGCCAGAAGAGGACGAGGAAGATGACGAGGAGGAAGAGGAGGACGAGGAGGATGTTTCGGGAGACGCGCGGGATGGGATGGGCGGACGAGAGAGAAGGCACCATAGCCGTGTCGCTAGCGACCTCTCCGTGATAGAGTCCTCCGCCGAGATGCTCTACGGATTAATCCACCAGCGCTTCATCTGCTCGAGGGCCGGCATCCAACAAATGTCGGAGAAGTACGAGCTGGGCCACTTCGGGGTCTGCCCACGCACGAACTGCAACCAAACCAGGACTCTCCCCGTCGGCCTCTCCGACATACCCGGCGAAGACACCGTCAAGCTCTTCTGCCCTTCGTGCCTCGACGTCTACGTTCCACCCAACAGCCGCTTCCAGACCGTCGATGGTGCCTTCTTCGGCCGCACCTTTGGCGCGCTCTTCCTCCTCACCTTCCCCGACTACGACCTCTCGCGGTCCGGCGCCGAGACAGCCGCCAACCTGGGCCGGTCAGCCGACGAGCACGGCATGGTCAACGGCATGTACGCGCGCAACATCGCGCCCGGCCTGGGGCGCGGCAAGATCTACGAGCCCAAGATCTACGGATTCAGGGTATCTGAGGTGGCGCGCTCCGGCCCGCGCATGCAGTGGCTGCGCGAGAAACCCGACGACGTAACGCTGCTGGACGAGGCGCGCAACTTTGCCGAAGAGCACGGGGCGGACTCGGACGACGACGACGAGAGCATGATGAACAGCGGGCGGCCCACGGCGAGGCGGCGGCCGGCCGGAAACCCGGCGTTGAGGCAACGGCAGGGGCAGAACGGGAGTCCTATGAGGGTGGATGCTAACGGCGCCGAGTCAGAGCTCTAAGAGGGCGACTTGCGAGTCTTCCCCGCGATCAGTAGCGCTGTGATGGGCAGCCTTCTTGTTCTTCATACGGACTCAACAGCTGGGAGGGGGTTAGCTTTCTCTCCCTCTCTCCCTCTCCCATCTCGTTCATGCCAGCTTAGCATTGTCGGCGTTCGCACTCTTTGCCCTGGGGCTTCTCTACGATTGGGAAACGGGATGGCGTTGCCAGCGTGCCGGCTCGGATTGTGCATAGGAGAGACATGGGGGGGAGACATGATGGAATGATGGGATGGATGGGTACGCGACCCGGCGGTGTCTCATTTGTGCGTTGGTGGTGTAAGGAGGGACTAGGACAAGGGGGGCCAGGGGGGAGGTGGTTACCTAGGTGGTTGGGTGAGGCTCGGGAGTCGATAGACTGGAATGGAATGGAACTATGATAATTCCCAAATTACCTACACAGTCAGTACAAGCGCAAGGTACATTAAGGTACATACATTGGACGAAAGCCACGTGAATGGTTGCGACATGTTCCCGGGTGAACACTCGCTGCATGGTAAGCTGCAGCCGGCACATGAAGCAGGGATCTTTAAAAAGGAAGTCCTGCAGTCGAGTCCTGGCTCGTCCTGCGGCTATCCTGCAGAGACTGGACCAAAAGGAGAGTAGGATCCTTTATATTTTATAATGACATTGCAGGATGGTTTACTGTGTGTATCAAATAGGCCAAATCAAGCGCTGAAGGTCCTTTTCAGCCGTTCGCTTCTTTTTCACCTTGCTTTTGGCTCATTGGTTAACGTTATTTTGTCGATTGTTCTCGATTTTGTTTCTTTCACATCGCCTGGCCCAATTAGGGCCCATCACTTCGTTTTTGGCATACAATGTGTCATGCAGGGCTGGGGAGGGCGCTGTCCTGACTCTGGACACTGCTAGCGGCAGGGTTTTCCTCACCCCCACAAAGTGGGTGCTTCGCGTGGTCTGGAACGGGCAAACGGCTCCTCCGGTAAATCTCAGGAGAAAAATGAGAGTGGGCGCTGATGTGTGGTTGGCTCGTTCCGAATCCTGATTGATCGGGTTTTCCGAAGGGTCCGCCGGCCAAAATTGCTCCTTCCATTTTCAGTAGTGACCTCGTTAGTTATACTGTGTATGTCGAGGCCATCCATTGTTAAACATCGAGGATTTGGACTTGCGGTCAAGACTGGAGATACACCTCGTCCTCCACAGCATGACGCCGCGCCACTAAGCTTTGTGGCTAGAGGCGTGGCTTGAAAATCAATTAGTGCTTCTTATTGGCTGAAGCTGCCTTTCTCGTTTGTGTAAGTCAGGACGCCGTTTGACGCTCTCCTGGATCCCCACTTTCCCATTTCGGTTCGAATCTGCGGGGCGCTGCCTGAGCCTGCCCCACCTTTGCAATCTCCATGTTAGGGCCGCGCCTTCACAGCTGCTGCCGCGTCGCCTCGAAGCAATTGTTTCTTCCAAGTGCTTCTCACCGTCCATCCAACAGCGGCTCTGCCCGGAATGTCTCAGAAGACTTGCGGCAGGGAACGTTCTGTAAGGCCTACCACATTCGGATTAAATCACTTACGTTAAAGCCAATGAAATGGCTCTACTGTCTCTCGAATGGGAACATTCGTTAACAAACGCAGAATTGTGGATGCCGATTGCCGTCCCCAACACTTCAGACACCGCCGCCCTTGCCGCATCCACCATGCAGGCTCGTTCCGCCCCGGGTTCCGTCACATCGGCTGGGATGGCAGACATGCCGTCGCCGGTCCAATGAGATTCCCCCCCACACGCCGGATGAGTCGAAGTTGAGCTTTCCCATTTTCCGATGTTCTGGCGTTCCCCGGGCCCACACGCCCTTCCGCTCTCAGTGGCTTCCTCAACACGCCCTTGCGGCTTTCTTTTGGGGGGCGAAGGGAGGGGGCAAACCAACAAGATCGTGCCGGCAAGACCATTCCATGGCTGGGCACCTATGGATGCCACTGACAAAACTGACCCGATCTGCAAAAACCGGCTTGGCTCCGATGCCGTACACTACTTGTACTTGGTAGGACTCATTGTCACCCTCCCGGGCCCAAGAGAATGTTGAGGCCATCTTGGGATCGCGCCCCAATTTGGTGGGTCCCCTAGAACGCTCGAACGCGCAGAGAACCTTGTTAGTGCCGTCGGATCACGAACCGCAACTCGGAGCAAGCAAGGTTGATTATGTGGGATTGGTAATGTTTGGGACCTGCCAAGCCGTGTGTCTCTCCGTCTTTTTTTTCAAGCCCCATCCTCATCCCCCGCCGATACAAAGGCTCGGGGTCCCTGCTTCTTGCTCCTTTCCTTCCGTCTAAGAGTCCCCGCAGCCAACCGACGACGCTCGGAGTTTGGAGGAGAGGCTCCCTCTTCGTCCACCCTCCACACAGCGCGCCTTTCTTTCTCTATCTTGTTGCTATCATCTGGCAGGCAAGCCTTTTGTGTCTGTTGTATATTTTTAATAAGTCTTTACGTTCCTTATCCGTATAAGACTTCTTCAGTTCGTGACGAGAGCGGCCCTCCGCTGCGCCAGTTCTTGTTTTGCTTACCACCTAAGAACACCTGGGAAACAACATAACGAGCGCCCCCGAGGACCCCATCATGGACACGAGTTCGGAGAACGCGGGCACCGAGCCTAAAGCGAGGCCAATCAGCAGCATGTTTCAGTCGCGACCGTCCACCTCATCCACGGCTCAACATCCCGAGGATATGATCGAGGAGGCTCGGCGTAACAACCCCAATGGAACCACCCGGGCAACAGGCATCTCCGTCGAACAGGCCGAGGCCGACTTTGCCGACCTACAGCGCGAGCTTTCCCACATGTCTCGTGCTAGCCAGAGGCGCGACAATGGAGACAACGAAAAGGGGCCGTTGGAGGTTTCGTCAGAGGAAACGTTCGAGCAGTTCGACTTGGAGGCTGTCCTACGCGGCGATCTAGACGCCGAGAGGGCAGCCGGGATCCGACCGAAGCACATCGGAGTTTACTGGGATGGTCTGACGGTCAAGGGCATGGGCGGCCAGACAAACTATGTCAAGACCTTCCCTGATGCGTTCATTGACTTTTTCGACTACATCACCCCCGTCAAACGGATGCTCGGCTTCGGCAAGAAAGGGGTCGAAGCCACCCTCCTGAACGAGTTCAAGGGTGTGTGCAAAGCGGGCGAGATGGTCCTGGTCTTGGGAAAGCCTGGGTCTGGCTGCACCACATTTCTCAAGACCATTGCGAACCAGCGGCACGGCTACACGGGAAGTGACGGGCGAGGTGCTGTACGGGCCATTTACCGATAAGGAGTCA